TGAGTTGTGTAACTTTCCCAGCAAAATCTTAAAATTGTGTGTGGCGCCATCTGTTGAGAGATTTTATTAAAATGCTTTTTATATTATTAATTAATTATTATAAAATGTCAAAAAGCTTAATTTTGAGGAAAGAGATGTGTTTTATAAAAAACTGTAAATGCCAATAACGAGTAAAATCTCCATTAAGTTTGACCCACTCTACCCCCCCTCTATCTCCTTACCCCTTGACCTATAACCACCAAAACTTAATAGCACCAATGTCTCTAATACACAAACCTCCCTGCAAAATTTCAGAAATTTGTGACAAAAAGCACAAAAGTTATTAAGCTTCAAAGAGAGTAAACAAAATCATGCTCCTCCCACACATACACACACACAAAATAAACTCCCAAATTTTTTTTTTTTTTGCATTTCTCAATGTTTCAAGATCCCTAATCCAAAAAAAAATCTTAGGGAATATTTCTGACTGATCACCATACTTTTCCTCTGTTATATATAACAGGCAGGAAAGTAAAGTAGGTAAGTTTAAATAATCAATATGCAGTTTTATTTGTAAAAGAAAAAAACAATTCAAAAACAGCCAAAGTATTGCAAAGATTATGGGCTATTTTTACGCAATAATTAATTTTCACTAAAAGCATTAAACACCCTTTTTTTTTACTAAATATACTAATTAGAAACTAAGGATTGATTAATTTAGAAGAAAGATCTTGACTACATTTTAATATCTAAAAGTGTCAGCATACTATCCAAGAATGGGACTGCAAAAACTTTGAAAAGTTTAAACGATACAAAGAAATTTTACAAAACAATGACACCAACAAAAGCATTGGTAATTTTTAAATCATATTTATAGGAAACAACTAATACTTTGTACTGTGTTTAAAAAAGGTTTAAGTAAATAAGAGAGTATTTTTGTCCATTGCAAAAAGGCAGCCTCTACTTATAGTAAAATTACCATCAATAGTACTATTGCTGACTACATTTTATCTGTTAAGTATAGATGTCCGTAAACGCAATGTCCACTGAATCTGTTTCACTGTTTTCAGTTGATAAATTATTATTATTATTTGTTTGAACATTTTAAATTATTATAAATAATAATTTTGGTTTATATTCAACTTACTAAATCTTATATAATATGTTTGCCTAAAGGTTAACCTATACTAAACTTAATAAAATTTGTGTATGTTCCTAAATCCTTAATAGTAACATGAAAATATAAAAAAATTATATTATAATACCCACAAACAAATCATTAAATACAACATTTGAAAATGTATCACCAATTATTTATATATTCAGTAAGTAATGTTATATAGCATGAGATTACTGCCCCAACAAATTATTACAATAATTTTGATTAACTGTTGTAAATATAAGCATAAATCAAGTTAGTGTAAAAAAAAATAATGTTTCTCTAATATAACAGTTAAGTTTATACAAGTTATCATCTGATACATTAGAATCTCAGCTAATATGTTTTGTCATATGATTTTTGTAAAAATGTCTTATTTTAATTCTTGACTGTTGTAATTAAGACCAAATGATTACTGGATTGTATCAGGTTGTATTAGGGATACATTTAATAATTAAATATAAAATAATTTTACCTAGAGGTAGACCCTACACAATCTAGCAGATAATTTGGTATCAATCAAGATTTGGTTTATTTGAAGTTTATGGATGTTAACGTCTCGTGGAAATTTTCATGGTTCATTCTCAACTTAAACTATAAAATTCTACAAGTGTATAAGGCAATTAATATTTAGCAATTTTTTGATAAATTACTTGAAAAAATTAATTTATAATTAAATTTTAACAAATAAAATAAAAAAATCATGTATAAATAACAAACATTTTGAGAAGAAAAGAACTCAAAAAAGCAAAATATTTAATTTTCCTGGTTTTGTGATGGAGTCCATAATATAAATTTGTCATAACTGAAATATAAACGATAATAAATATATAAAAATGCTAACATACAAATAAAATACATCTTGTACGATTCCTAAAATTTAGAGTATTTGCAATATAAAATTTCTGCTTTTAGTAGTAGAAATCTGTTTAACTCTTTTCTTACTGTTTTTTAGATTAATATTTACTGTATTGTCAACAAAAATTCTAAAAAAAATTATCATTTTTTTAATTTTTTATTTAGGTAAATTTATATCAACAGTTCCAAATTAATCTTAGACACTAAAACCCTAATTTGTTAGCATCTATTATATAATTTGATTTCCTGTCTTTAATTTTTTTCTAGCATTTCTTCTACTGTTTTAACATCTCTCCTTTAAAATGAACATTGTATTTAATTTTTATAATATTTATGAAAATAAAATCATTATGTATTTGTTAATGATTTTACAAGATTTTTAATAAAATCTTTCAAACAATAATGAATGAATATAATAGATCAATTATTAAATTATTTTTAGTTAAATTGTAATAGTAACCAATTTTAACTTAATTTATTTAGTTCATTTCTGTTGAAATATTTGAAAATGTATTGAACAAAACTTATTCTTCAGAGAATTCTATAGTTTAAATAAGATGAGGATGAAATATGAAAGTTTAAAAATGTATTAAAAAAATCAATGATCTGATGTCATCCTGTGGTGAGGAAATGATTTGTTGTTTCCCTAAAGAAAAAACATAGTAAAAAGCTGATATTAATCATTATAAGTTTTCACTAATTGATTATATATTTTTTAGTGTAACATTTAATGATAAATTCTTAATTTTATTTAATTTCTGTTATAATTTTCACTGTAATTTCAGCATATATTTTGTAAACACTTCATCAAGCACACACATTCACACAATATCAGAATTATATCTGTAATTAAGATGTAATTAGTAAAATTGATTTTATTGTAAAAAAAAAAAAATAAAATAAAATATGGAATTCACTAAATTTTTATTATATATGTTAAAACTGGAAACTTGAGAGGTGGAGCTAGGGTTCCCTGGGCCCAGAATATTTATATGTGTGGTTTATCGATGTTTGTATAGAACTCGTTATTTTATTTATAAAAAAAAAAAAAAAATAGTTTTATTATGTATAAACTTCTGTTGTAAAACTGGGCCCAGATAAGTTGATTTTTCATCACCCGGTAGCTCCAGCCCCTGTAAAAAAAATAAATATTTCAGAATACGATTTAAATTAATTAATTAAGTGTTAAAATTTTACTGTGATACTACACAATATAATATGGAATTATTTTATTAGAAAAAAAAAATTAAAAACTGTATAATAAAATCATAACTAGCAATTACGATTCAACTTTAAGTAACATGTATGATTTTTTATATATATTAAAAAACTTTAAAATGATAGAAAGTGAAAAATTTACATTATTTTTTTGAAATCCTCGAATCACTGGAAAATATCATATCTAAAAAATTAAAATTATTAAATAGAAACATTAGCAACATGCACTTTCTGGAAAACTTATCAAAATAAAATTAATACTACATATGTTATTATATATTAATATATATAAATAAGCTTTTTTTTCTTTTGTATACTACATAGGATTTTGTTATGGGATTTCGAATTTTTGCATTTGACCCGAATATGTATGTTGTGATGTTCTATATCATGTATAATGCATTTCAAATTGATAATACGTATGTAGTTTTTATATCATAATATTTATGATATCTACTATTTAAAACGTAAGTGCTATACTATATATGTAGTGGGTTTAGAAAATTCTCTGCCTTAATCCACATTAGAGCTTATGATAAATAGTATTAGTTAAGATAATTGCTTATAATTTTGTATCAATTTATGAATGAAGAGCTACTTTGGATTAAATTATATTTATATTAATTAATAAAGTATTTAAATTTAGGGAAACAAAAGATATTGATGTTAATTCTTCCACATTTAATGCCAAAGAATTATTATTAATTAATCAAATCAAATAAACTGAAATGAAAATTTAATAATAATAAAAACTTTGAAAAATTTTTTGTTCGTGTTAAATTTTAGATGTAAAAAGAAAATTGTTGTTTAAAAAAATCATTATTTTTTGGAATTTAGTATTAGACGGGAAGAAAATTTATAAGAAAATTTTTAGATAAGATCTTTGTATTTTTTTTTTGCATAGAGTTTGAATATGTAATAAAAGAAATGGTCATTTTCATCATAAAATAACATGTAAACATGTTATTTTATGATGAAAATGACCATTTCTTTTTCATACAATTTTTCAATTTTTGTATATAAATTCAGTTAAATATAGTTTTATTGAAATCTATTTGAATTTTTGAAAGTTTATCTTATTTCATTTTCACTTTTGTTTTGATAAATGTTACACTTAGAACATTTGCTTATAAAATAGAACGGTTAACTTACCAATTCTATTTTAAGAACAATTAACTTCCTCATTAAGTGCCAATTTATAAAAAGCTGATAAAATACAAGTTAAAACAGTTTTATCTTTTTTTCAATGGCATGTTATAACTTAACGAGAAGCCCGGATAAATTTGAATTAGGAGGCCCCACACAATGTTGATTTTAGTAATTTTGGGAAAATATAAGCATCCCTTTAACTCTTATTTTATGAAATCTTTATAAAATTGGCTCTATATTACTATTTTTTTTAATTTTTTTTTTGTAGAGCATTTTTTTTCATCTTTTACAGATAAGACGAATTAAATATTTAGAAAAAATTCGTGTAAATGAAAGCGTGCAAAGTAATATAAGCGTAAACAAAAAAATCCGCACGTTTGCACGGAAAATCTCCCGTACCGAATCAAAACCGCTCGCCACCTGGCGGCGTGACGTCACTACTCTTCCCACAATTCCGTTAGTAAAAATCGTGCCATTCCAAGATGGCTACTTGATCCGTGGCAGTCGTACGATGTGATCTCTGTGTTATTGTGACTGCATAGATCGACATTAGATATATTTCTGTGAGGTTAAAGATGTCGCGGGATAGCATCATCAAAGTGAATCTGAAGTTATATAAAAAGAGTACGGAGCCTACCTTAATATTCGATGGTGGCTCTTCGAATGTAAGGAGCATATACCGATCCCCCCGACTTGCCGAATCTCTTTGTCTAATCTGTAAATAAAAGAAAAGAAATTAAAGGGTTTGGCTTTTTTTTGTCCCAGGTGGAAGTGTAATAAATAAATTTAAAAAAAAATAAAATATATGCGGGAGATTCGTCGGTAAATAGCTTCGTTCGTTACCTTGATGAATTTTTCAACCGCGTCTTTAGCTACGTCCAACAATGTTGGCCTAGCACCTAAATATGTGCGTTGATTCATTGATGCACTTGTGTCTACGAGGAACAATATAATCGTCATGATGGCACCTTTTTTATATCTAAGTAAACATCGGACCTATCTGTTTTGACTCGTTCGACGTCCACCACCTTCCCCCTTCCTTTCTGACATGGCGACTCGGCAGACGATCGCTGCAACTTACCAGGTCGTACCACGTGACTGGACGAACCGTAACGGCATCGCTCGTTGGACCGTTTAAGGGCGATTCGAATTACGTAATGCCCGTCGTCACGGGCGTCTCGAAGAACGATTGGACGGATGGATACGTAAAGCGCGACGTCGTCTGTCTATTGGCGTAACAAGTAAGAGAGACGCTTGATATACGTCGCGTCATTTGTTGGCGTATTCACGTGACGAAAGTAATCGGCGTTTTAATTCGTTGCTGGAAAGTACATTTTTGGGTATTTAAGGTCGGTATTGCTTATCGTTTGCCACTCGATGTTTATGTCTTTGTAGTGTGACGTACGTTTGAATGTAGTCTTTTTATTTTTATTTTTATTTTATTATTATTTTTTTTTTGTGTGTGTGTATTCGAAGCAATTTTAATAAATCAGAGGAAATATCTTTAATGGAGGAATATAAGAAAAATAAATTTCTCAAATCAAACGAATGATTTATGAAGTAGTGTCCGGATTCGTGAAAATATTAAGCAGTGACCTTTAATACTATTATTTTTGTACACCTTTGTATTGTTTGTAGGTAAATACAAGACCAGGCTCGTGTTACAAAACACTGGCTATCTTGTAGATGAATACAATTATATGAAACACAATCCTAGTGTCTTCCACTGTATTTAGTGTACTGAACTAAATTTGGCATTTGTGTAGTGAAAATCACCTTTATGATCTTAAAAAATGATTTAATTGGCTCTCGGTTGCTGAAATGGTATTTATTTTTGATCACTTCACAGAAATGGATATAATACACAGTAATTACCCACTAAAATACAGCAAAATCAATCTAAAATTGTTCTTACTGTATTATATCCAGTAATAAGCGATTAAATAATAATCCCCCTGCAGGTTATTATTTTATTTTTTTGTGGAAGTTTATGCCAGTTTTAAAACAACTTTATTCCTGTATGTAGTGAGAAACTGATTAAAAAAAAATGGCCAAACTAAAGATTGAATAAAGAAGTTCAAATATTGTAGAAACTAAATTGGAAATAATTCCTTTTGGAAATATTTCGGAAAGTTTGATACGCGAGATTTTTGCTTTAACCGATGTCGACATTCTCTGTACGTGAGTTTTTTAATAGAAAATTATAAAATTAGAATTCACTAGTATGTTTAGAAACAGCTTTCTTGTGCCGAAATTAAATTCCAGATAATTTTTATATAAAGGTGATACAACTATTTAATGATTTATTATTGTATTTGCATGAAATTTTAAAAATTTATATAGAATCATTATTACAATTTTTCTCAATGCTGGTGTGTTCATAAAAAATGTTTTTCGGCTTTTTTCGTCCATGTTGTCCTTTCCGGAGCTTCTTCCTTTCTCGTTCCCTTCTCATTTATCATATGTGTTATTCCATCTTTCCATTTTCTCTTTGGTCTTCCTGTTCTGTTTCCATTCAGAAAGCATTTTTGATATCTCCATTCACTCTTGCAAGGTATCTAAATCATTAAGATTTTTCATTTATATTATCTAATAATGACCTGCTTATGTTTCTTCTCTGAATTCACAATTTGATTTCCACTTTAATCTTGAAATCTTGGCCGATCTCTTCTGAAGGCACAGAGTTCTCCATTTTCCACTGCCCATACAAAAGTATTCCTTGAAAGATGGTTTTAAGTATGTATTTTTTATTTTCTTGAGATGATGCTACACTGCAGAACTGAATTCCACTTGCCAATAGCTTTCAATGTTTTTGTAATTCCATTTCTTCTTGTTTAGTTAAACCATTTAATTCAACTATTAAACAAAGGTAGTGACACGACATTCTTTGTTATAAACCATCAACCACTAGGTCTGACCAGGTTTTAAGTGCTCATATATTCTGTTTTCCTGTAATTGATCTTTGATCTATTCAAAAATAATTTAAACTGCAGACTAATGTATACCTAGCAATCTTGAATTCTATGGAATGTTGGGATTCTACAAGCATGTTTATTTTATGATAAAATATTTAAAACAAATTTATGTGGCAATAAGATTTTATATTAAGAAATGAAAAATTAATGATGATAAAGGTTTTACAAGTGATTTTTTTATTGTGGTATTCTATCAAAACTAAATTTAGCAAGAAATCCTACTTCAAAAATCAATTTCCTATCTGTGAAATCAAATTTCTAAGCAAGATTTGTTTTGTCTAAACAAGAAGAAAGATTGGTTTGGCATAGATTGTGTAGGCTATGTTTTATTCAATGTAATTCAAATTATGCCGTCTTTTATGAGAACAATTATTTATATTTAAGAGATTTTTCTGCAAAATAGTAGTCTTGAAATGTATCGTTTCTATAATTTAATACATAACACACCATTTTATTTTACTTTAATGTATACTAAATATAGAAACATTAGGCTTGCCATACGTGAGGCCAGATAGTCCAGGATATTGCCACCAATTCCAAATTTAACATCAATTGAGTAGTTAGAAGTGTGATTGTATTCATTAAGTATTTGATCAATGCCCTTTATCACATCATAGAGTGTGTGCACTTAAGTTTATTTAGCAAAAATAAAATGTGTACCATAACCATATCCATACAAGCAGAGTAGTCAGATCATGCAAAAAATCATGCACTATAATTTTTGGGATGCTGTTGTTAGCATTTATTAATTAACACTTCAAACAGCATGCCTATAGCAAATAGCTACAGAACGTAGATAATGTCTTGTTTAAAACATTGTACTGTACATAGGTGGTGCAGAAGTGCACTTTGGTACTCCCTATTCATAGTATACATCACCACCTACAAGTCAATTGGCCTCCCTATTTCTAACCATTCTGAGCTTTGAATTAGATGGTATCATATCTGCAGTGTACTTGCCACTATGTGCCTTGTGATGTAAGTATAATTTGCATTTACTTATTTATTTTTTTTAATGTATTTGAAAGAGTAACTTACTTATTGCATAAATATCTTTATTTTACAATGTTACAGATTGTAACATTAAGCTTATATTAGTTTGAAAATATACCAAACAGCTTTCAGGATGCCTATATTTTTGTGACAGCTTTAGAACAATCTGTAAGGGAATTGATAGAAGAAAGAGAAGAGACTGATTATGATACTGAAACTGAGTCAGAAGAGTGGAGATTATATTAGATAATTGTGATAGTGACTCCAAACAATTGGCTGATGAGATAGGTGAATTTTTTTTTTTTGTAGAAGACAATAGTAGAACAAAACTGACATGTCAAGAATGTGGTAAAAATGTTATATAATTATTAAATATATAGTTATATAATTATTAAATTGCCATGTGTGAATGCAACCAACAGATGGAGGTGGAGTGACCTATTTTTAATTATATAGATTCTTTATAACTGCATTTATTCAATAAAAAGATTAATTCCTCTCTTTTATTTTATTCATATTTTTTAAAAAAGTTAAAGATTGGAGGATGTGATATAATATTACATGTGCAGTGTAATATCCACAATATATACCCTCTTATGAAACACTAAAAGGAACACCCACAAAAGGGTTTAATTATGTAGTTATTCCCACTTTTATAAACACAAATTAGTACAAAAATTGCTTAAAATTGATATATTTTTATTGTAGTATTTAGACTTGAAATTATCATTGTAATATTCTTCTTCTTCTTCTGGTTCCATATTCATTTCTGAATGTAGGACTAGTATTATAACAATCTCAATTGTGCTTCACGTGTTAGTTCTTCTGCTTTCTTATTATTCCATTCACATATATTACCTAACCAACTTTTCCTTCTCCTTCCTGGGCTTTTCTTTCCACAGATTTTTCCCTCTAAAATATTTCTCAAAATTTCATATTTACTTCCTCGGATGATGTGGCCAAAATACCCCGTCTTTCTTCTTTTAACTGTATTTAAAACTTCTTTTTCTTTCCCCATTCTTTCCAAAACTTCCTCATTTGTTATTCTATCTGTCCAAGATATTTTTAAAATTCTTCTATATAACCACATTTCGAATGCTTCAAGTTTGTTTAACGTATTTTTATCTAAGGTCCACGTTTCTACTCCATAAAACAAAACTGACATCACATAGCACCTTAACATTCTAATTTTAAGATGTAAATTAAAAACATTGCATTTGAAAAATTTCTGCATTCTGATAAAAGTACCTCTCGCATTTTCTATTCTAGATTTAATTTCTTTAATGCATCTGCCATCTTCCTGTATGATAGTCCCCAAATACTTAATTGATGAAACTGTATCAATTGTCCTGTTTTGTATCTGCAACGTTACATTATCTATATTTTTCTTGCATGAAATAAGTAGCTTTGTTTTCTTATAATTCATCTGAAGTCCATATAATTTACTTATTGAATTAATCTTTTCCATTAGTATTGTCAAATCATTTATATTTTCTGCTAAAACCACTGTATCGTCAGCATAACGTATATTATTTACATTCATCCCATTTATTACAATCCCAATGTGTTCCATATCTTCTAAAGCTTCTTTAAAAATTTCATCTGAATAAATATTAAAAAGTAAAGGTGATAAAATACATCCTTGCCTTACTCCTCTTTTTATTTCTATTTCTTCAGATAATTCAGAATCAATTGAAATGTTGGCCTTCTGTTCCCAGTAAAGATTTGTTATAATTTGCAATTCATTTCTATCAATTCCTTTCTTCCCAAGTATATCTATTAATTTATCATGCAGAATTCTATCAAATGCTTTTTCGTAGTCTATAAAACAGGCGTATATATCCTTGTTAACCTCTAAACTTCTTTCTACCAGAACTCTATAAGCAAAAAGAGCTTCTCTTGTTCCACAAGATTTTCTAAACCCAAACTGTGTGTTGCTTAAATCTTCTTCACATTTTTTATATATTCTTGTATGAATTATTCTTAAGAAAATTTTTAAAACATGACTCATCAGGCTTATAGTTCTATAATCACCACACTTTTTTGCATTATCTTTTTTGGGAATTGCTATAAACGTAGACATTAAAAGATCTTGAGGAATTACACCACTTTCGTAAATAATGTTGTAAAAATCCACTAAAATATCAAGACTATCTTCATCCAGTAATTTCAAAATTTCAGCGGGAACTTCATCTGGTCCGGTAGCTTTACCTTCTTTAGTTGTTCTAATTGCATTCTTTACTTCTACTTTTAGTATTGTTGGTCCTTCTTCTTTATCAATTATTATAGGTTTTAA